GAGGATGTCCTGTGTGTGAAGTATTCCCCAGACCAAAAATTCATTGCGGTTGCCTTGTTGGACAGCACGGTGAAGGTGTTCTTCGCAGACACACTCAAAGTAGGTCTTTTGATTAGGCGCCCTCTATTAAGTAGGCTAATCAATAATGTTATTATTTTGTAGGAATATGATATTAAAATTTTAACCTATATCCTATTCATTATTATTATTATTATTTTATTATTATTTATTATTATTATTATTTATTATTATTATTTATTATTATTATTATTATTTTTAACCTATATATCCTATTCATTGTTTCTTTTTCAGTTCTTCTTGTCCTTATATGGACACAAGTTACCAGTACTGACAATGGATATATCAAGTGTAAGTTTCCACATGAGTATTTGAGAGAAATGTAAAGTAACTAATAAAGACTAGAAATTGCAAATTGCAAGTGAAGTGCTGCGAAGTAAAACTGCATAAAATGTTCTAAACAAAATTATTTATGCGAGTCAAGTGAAAAAAATGAATAATAAAAATATAACAAATAATATGATACACGACCCATTGTCTATATTAGAACAGCGTTGGTACCGTGTACAATAGTGTTTTGCTGCAGTGACATCTCGCTGCTGGCGACTCGCTGCTGCTGGCCGATGACTTGCTGCTGGCGAATCGATCTGCGCATGTGTATAAAATGGTATTTATTTCCGAAAACACTATGCCAGTCTACAACAAGCGTCGCCTAAATGTAATAATTAGCACGTTGAAATAGGCTAGTAAATAATTTTAACTGGGTTCGTAAATAATATTGGCCTCAAAATATTTTGGTTGAGACATGAGCCGATTAAACGTAGAAATAGGAAACCTAGAAATATAGTAAAAACGCTCCAGCGTCGCGACATGCGGACGTTGGTACGAGTAGGTTAGTCTACAAACGTCGCCTAAAGTAATTGATTTTACCCGGCAGAACGAAAGAAGGAAACTCCGCTTTTCAGTTGTCTTAGGCGCAGGTTTTTTGACAAACAATGACCTTTCAGAGGTCAAATTGCTGTCAAGAATATGAATTGGCTGCTTCGCAGCAAAAAATGATTGAAGTGTAGTGAATGCGGTACCCCTTTGGCACTCCTGTGACTTACAACTGGTTTGCATGTTAAAGTGCAGTTGAGTATTGTGTCCTGGTTTAACAGTATTCATTTATTTTTATACAATTATTTACTTCACTCATTAATCTATTTATTCAACAATGTTACAATGGGTTGGATCACACAGCAAATTGTCTTAAAAGAGGCCCACACACAGGTATAACCCCCACCCCCGTTGGCTGCATACTGGTGCAGCCACTGGCTGTGCACATTGACTATTACATTAATTAACATAAACAATATATTTCTACACAAATATTATACATACAACTCAATAAGGAATTCAGAGGTTAATTAACAATGCTCATAATTTCAAATTACTTGTCCTAACTTTGCAGGACAGCTCATTAATTGTGACTGGATCGGCAGACAAAAACATCAAGATATGGGGCTTGGATTATGGTGATTGTCATCGTTCAATCTTTGCTCATGACGATAGCATCATGGGAATTCAGTTTGTACCCAAGACCCATCTTTTCTTTACCTGCGGAAAAGATGGTAAATTGAAGCAATGGGATGCTGACAACTTTGAAAATATCACAACATTGGAGGTGAGGTTTGAAAAATAGTTCCTTAGATATAAGCCCATCCCTAGTAATTTCCATGCAAAGTTTTTCGCATTGGTTTATTAAACCCATCCGTAAATTCAGAGTTCAAACAGAAATTGGAAACTATGTGTGTCTGAGATAACACAGTATGACCTAAAATTGCATTCAAATTAAATTTAGCACACATCTATAGCCCTATTCTTTAATGTAAATTAATAGGATTTGTGCATAGAGCCCATGCCATTGGATTAATAAGGTTTCTGAGATATTCTAAGTGTTGAGGCTGGAAACCAGAGGAAAGGTGCTGTAATTACAGAAGTAAAGGATTAGTATATTGTTACTCATGATGATGTGGTGTGATTGTAGATCTATATTATTGTAAACAAAACTATATTGCAAGAATTATTTCCCAATTAATGGTTTCTTGGCATGTAGGGTCACCAAGGAGAAGTCTGGTGTCTGTCCGTCAGTCCAAGTGGCAACCATGTAGTCACTGCATCACATGACAAATCACTGAGATTATGGCAACGAACAGAGGAACCACTAGTACTTGAAGAGGAGCGAGAAAACGAACGAGAAAAGGAAAATGAAGCAGCAGTGGCTGAACGTGACACTGAAGCTGTGGTATGTAGTCTTGTCTTGATACCATGTTATTTTTTTGTTTACACATATCACCATCAATTATTGCAAAATGATATTTTGCCAAATTGAGATTGATTGAATGAATGATAGATTGAGATACTGTGTGCTGTCTCTAATAGTTATTGTCTTTCCATATTGTAGATATTGAATTAAAATTTTTAATTGATCTGTTTAATTAAATATTTTCAAAATAATTGTAAATAATAGTTAGTTTGTAAGGTAATCAATATTTATGTTGTTGATAGTGAATTTTCAATTATTTTAATGATGTAATTTAATGATGTAATTAATAATAAGTATATTTTTGTAGTCTTTTTGTATATATCTTTGTAATTTCATTGTATAATGTTGCCTATTTTTAAATCTGAATATGCCCTATATAAATAAATATTATTATTTGATTGAGGGTGGAGAGGGAGAGTGTGTGTTCAGATGGCATGGAGCATTATAATGTTAATTTCCTAAGATCAGGGAATCAACAAATTGAACACTATTATACAAAACTTTTTAATGTAAGCTACACTAAATAAATTTAGGGAAATATTACACCAATTCAGTTTGTACATTGCATATTGTATATATATTTTTAACACAGGTTGCTGGGGAGACAGCGGTGGAAGCAGTTCTAGCTGGTAAAAAAACAGTGGAAACTGTGAGGGCAGCAGAGAGGATAATGGAAGCGATTGAACTGTTCAAGGGAGAAAGGGCGAAGGTTATAGAACACCAAGAAAAGAGTAAAGCACTTAAAAAACCTGTAAGCAATCATTTTGTCTGATATGATTTTATATTTCATAGTTTGTGAAGATAACGGATGATAAAAGCTTATAAAATATACAAATCTAATATCTACATATCTTCCTCTTTGTCTTTCCTAGCTTCCAGCACCTAAGATGCATCCGATTCTAGAGGCTCTTGGAAACGTTTCTGTAAGTAAACATGAAGAAACTCTGAACCATATTTTATTAGGGAGGATATAGTTTTTGATTCAGTTTTTCTAGTTGTCGTCATTGTTAACATGTTGATCTAAATATGTTTCATTTGTTTCAGCCTACTCGATATGTTTTAGATGTTATCAAGAAAGTGCGATCAAGGTGTGTCAATCATTTCAATATTTATTTAACCAAACCTGAATATCCAACACCTTTTGTTTTTAGTTCCTTTTGTTAGATAAATCTGTACTCAGCCTGGAGAATGTCTACATACTGTACATTTCTCTAAATCTGTTGGGTGTTTTATATCATCTACCAACAGTATTATAATGTTTAATACTACTGTACAGTATTACAATACTAATAAAGTTTAAGCTAAATTATGTATGATGTGAGGCGAGTCGAGTGGCCGAGCGGTAAGGCAGGGGCGCCGCTAGCTACAGCCTTTAACATCGGCGCT